ACTGCGGGGAACCATGCAAAAAACGCATCTTCGCACGGGCAGCCCGTGCGTTGGCCAATTATTATTGTAAGGTCGTGAAACATGGAAGTCTATGCTTACTGAGTAGAAAATTGGCGCATAGTAAGTCGGCAAATTTGCAGCATACTCCTATCAAAGTAATGTGGTTCCAGTCTGATATGAAAAGTGTTATCGAGGCAGTATGCGTTAGATGGTCGTGCGAAGAAGATGAGCGAAAGAAAAACAGAATAACTCATGCTACTCGCGCACGGTTGAACGAATGCAACAGTGCCTAAACACTTCAGGTCACATCACATATGCCGTGAGCTCAAGACCAAAGAGGTATGTGGAGTAGTTTTTTAGCCTATTCATCACCCCCTTTCAAGCTACTGATGGCGGAGAGAAAAAACGAATAGTAGCTAATCAAAGGATCAATAATCTGACAAATTTTAAGATTTTTTTTCAGAAAATTTTGTGAACTGACGTGAGACCAAGTCCCTCAATTTCCATGGTTGCTTGACGTACAGCACCAATACCAGGCGGAGCATTCATGCCTTGCTGAGATGCAAATATATTTGTACCAGACTGATAGCACAGTACGCCGTGCGTACGTCGATCGCGTGGTAAACGACCTCTGATGTTTGGAACCTGATTACGGTGCGCCCCCATTGAACGCTGAAACTGTGCCATAATTTCTAGATAAACTTCAATGCAGCGTAGCAATGCTGGCTAACAAGAACAAAGATTTCGATGGTGCTGAATGTACCCAGATAAGAGAAGGATCGTTTCTGAAAAATTTCGAGGGATGCAGAGAGGAACGAATTTTGTTTTAACACTAGGTAGCACTTCCGCAGTATATTCAGAACCGGAGAGTCAAAGCTCCATCCGCATTCTGAAGTAATTCAAATGGTAGAGCACTGGTCGCTAACAAGGCAGTCGAAAATAATAATAATTATGATGTCTTGATGAGAATTTGTAGCAGCCTATCATTAAAGGAATCAGTGAACCGTCGAAAGATTTGTATTCGTTCTGGCGAATTCAGTTGAGACTGCTACACTTGAGCTAACTAAGCCTACCAAACTTACGACGCCTTGTAAAAACACATTAAAAAAAATTTATATTGCTGTTATTTCGTGGCTATTCGCTGCACTTCGTGGAAAAGATTGCCTAGAGCAGCGGATACTTTTCGTTAGCATGCAGTCAAAAAACTCAGGCTGAAAAGCACCAGGCTTGCCGGTGCAACCCCACTACACTTGAAGCAGTTAGGTTATTAAGTGTATTGTTATGCAAAATAACAATCACTTGGTTTTTATGCGTTTTTGCACATGTGCAAATTGCAAAAACGCACACTGGGAAGAGGCTGTGTGGGTGTCTGTGTGTCCGCATTTTTTGTCACCCACTTTCAACTCGAAGG